TTAAAGGGTGAATTTCAGCTGAAATGTGAGGGCAGGAGGGCTGCCTGAGCACCAGAAGAATTGCACACGAGCAAATCTGACCCTGGAGGGATGGCACGAGGGAGTGGGATGGGAGTGGAAGAGCAGAGGCTGCTGCTTGCAGAGTCAGTGCAGGCAGAAGGAAGAACACCTGCAGGGAGGAAGATGAAGTAGAGCTTAAGCTCATTCCTCAGTGGGGAAGAGGAACTACTAGGGGAGGATGCAGGGAATACAGAACAGTTTGGTGGTTCCTTTTTTTAGCTTAAGCTTCATAGACATCCAGACGTGACCAGATAGCTAATGAGAGGGGAGGAGAGAAAATAGATCAGAAGAGTAGTGGCTGGGTTAAAAAAGACACAGATGTGTGGGGAGTGTTCATTTTGTGAGGTCTGGGGGGTGTTTCAGAGGAGAGGACAAGGCGGAGAGCAGCAAACCTGGCCAGAAATAAAGAAAGGGGCTATGAACCCATCATTACAATAATGTCAGACCAAATCAAGGTGAATTATTAAATGGTTTCTACATGCTAATATGATCCATTCACACCAGATGAGCCTCATGTCCTCATTTTGCAGGGCTTGTGGCGAGGAAGAAGGGAAGCTGTGATGCTGTGCATCAGTGCACTGAGCTGCTATACTTGTCCAAAGTGCTTAAGGGGATCCCAACATCAGCCCTACTTGGGGAGATCTACATGCTGGAGGCATCAGCATGGCCACCAATATGTGAACCACCTCCTGCCCCTCTCCAAGCATTTACCCAGTGCTGGACACAAGCTTCCACCCATGCATGTGCTAACAGGCTCCTGAGCTGCTCTGTCCTTCCTGCCACGATGTTTTCCAGGCAGATGGTTCCAGGTCAGGGCTACCCAACACTTCTGCCAGCATGGGGGTGTGAAGGGCTGGGAATGAGCAGCTGAGGGCGAGGGGCCTTGCTGCATCACGGACGGATTATGGCAGCTTAACACATCCCTCAGAACCCAGCCGGCCTGGCTGCAGGGACAGCTCAGGGAGGCTGCTGGGGATCAGCAAAATTGCACAGCCCTGCACGGCCTGATGGTGGGCACCAAACCCCCAGCATCCATTTTCCAGAGGGATTCCAGGCTGCAAGGAGCTCCCACATCACCCTTGCATCCCCTGGGTCTGTGTCTGGCGTGCTGGGATGGCATCAGACCATTGCTCTACAACCAAGGGTGAGGCAACACGATGGAAATGGCTTTGCTGACTGATCGTGTTGCTTGCTTTGTCAGCACTCAGAAAAATGCAGCACACAAAAATGTGCCCTCCTCAGCACTGGGAGCAGCGACGGAGGCTCGTGGTTCACAGAAATACCCTGCCCTACACATCCGTGTTTAGGTGGTGTGATTCAGCAGCCCTGCATGTCACCCATCCCATCAACCTCATTGCTCTGAGCATCCCCAGGGGCGCGTCACACAGCTCAGGTCTGCTCCTCTGCAGCAGTCATGACCACAGCAGAGATACATGCATCCTTCCATGGCTGTTCCTGGGCTCTGCCTGCACCGGGATCCTCCTCCTCTGGAAGGCGTTTAGTGATCCCTCCGCAGCCCCATTTCTGCCCAGATCTTTTCTGATGAGCTCAGTGACACATCAACTGCCTGCCACCAGATAGACTTTCAACACCAATGGAAAGAACTGAGCCAGAACAGAGCTCTTGGGAAAGGGCTTTGGGTTTCTCTTGGTTACCAGAAAGCTGCAAGCTGCCCAAGAAACCCCAGAAGCTCCAGCTTTGCAGTGACTCTGCTGTGTGTTTCAGCTCCTGTAGAGCTGTGATCAAACCTTTGATGGGGAACAAAAGGAAGGAAGGGAAGGAAAGGAAGACCTTTCTGGCAGCTGTGACAGAAGTGACAGCTTTGTCTGATGCAAGGGAATGGGGAGTTTGTTATCCCTGAAACAACCTGACATGCTGGAAAACTGCTAAATGTGGGAGGAGGACCTTTGAGATTGGGTCAGTGTCAGCAGCCCTGTGCTGAACACCTCGAGGGTCTGTGCAGCCTGTGCTGCAGGCATGTCCAAGCACTGAGTCATGGTTTGCTCCTTGTGACGAGTCATCTTCGTATTTTTGATTCACAGACCTCTCTGTGCACAAAAGAGCAAACTGTCCTTGCCTGCTATAAAGCAGACGAGGTCTTAAAATGGAAGCCTCCCCAGACACCTGTGTTGAATTGGACTTCTGCAACAGGAAAGCCCATTCCCTTTTTGCCTTCTTCACCCAAACACCTGGGCTGCTGCTCTTTGGAAGCAAATCCTCCCCATCTCCAGGTGTCACTGCCATTTGCAGACACCCTTCTGCTGAACAGCAGGATGGGAAGGAGCAGCAGGGGCAGCAGGTGTGGCAGGGAGGTGCGGGGCAGCCCTCTCCAGTGAAGCTTACACACCCAGATGCAATTTCATTCCGGGGCAATTTTGGCAAACCTGCTCAATGAGGATAGAGATAACACTGCAAGAGAGAAGCTGGGCAAGTCACCATAGCCTGATGTGTGCAGAAACCCAACGTGGCAGCGCAGGGGTGTGACATGCAGGGAAGCCAAAAGCCCAGATGGACACAGGTGGGTAAAGCAGGGAGAAACAACAGGTAGAAACACACAGAGAGGTAACAGGGAGACAGGGAACCACCTCTCAGCTCTGCCTGCTCCTTGCAGCAGCCCCCAGGTACCTCCAGGTCGGGGTGCAGTAGAGGACTTGGGACAAACCAGTGCTGGGGAACCCTGGAGATGGAGAACCGCCCTGCAGAGTGGAAGAGGCACTGATGGGCACCTCCTATAGCCTCAGCTCCTGGGGTTAATGCAGTGCTGGGCAATGCAGAGCAGGCAGCAGAGGAGCACAGTGTGGAGTGGTGACTTGGGGTCCCCCCATCCCCTCCCCTCATGGATCAGCAGATTCCTCCCACATCTGCTGCATGCACAGGAACGCTTCGTGGAGTTCTGCTAAGGCGACGGTAAGGCAGGACGGGCTGCGCAGCGACTGCACACTTGTTTCCTAAGTGCTCCCTCTCCTGGGCTGTGGCCACACCATCCCAGGGAAAATCCAGTTTTTTTAGGCAAATCGGGGGTACTTCGGGCTGAGCAGCCTACAGAGCAGCGCTGGGACCTCCCCAGGGCTCCAGGCAAACCCAGATCTACAGGAGATTCACCAGCAGTGTTTTATACCTGGTTATTCTGCAGGCCAGAAGGGAAAGGCTGCGTCAGTGTTCCGTCTGCCTTCAGCTCCAGGGACCTTGGGAGTACAGGGGGTTTAAAAGGAAAAGAAGTAGCTTCCTTCAAAGAGTGGAAAGGTGGGGGATGAACCTGAGGGATGAGCAGAAGAGCTTTCTGCTGGGCTGCTGTGACTCAGATATGGCATTTTCTACATTCTAATAAGAGATGTCAAGTCATAGGTAATTTATTCATGGCAGGCTGATGCAGTTGCTATGGAGAGCATGATAGGAAGAAACTCTTTTAATGCATAGTCTATTGAGGAGGGAAGCATTTGTCAAAGATAAAACCTTGGTGAGAGGATAAAAGCAGCAAACAGCGATTAGGGACATTAAAAAAGAAAAAAAGGCATCTGAGGGCACTTCCACCACAGCTGTAATACTGTTCCAGGTTTGAGTGGACCTACCAGGACAGGGCATGGCGTTGTCCATCACAGCTCTTGGACCACAGGCATGGATGGACCAGCATCTTCTGAATGGGATCTGCGTGCTTCCTCTGAAACAACAGTGCGTGGTGAGCAAAAACCCCATGGACTGCCCAATGGATGGGCATTGCAGCCCCAAGGGAGCAATGAAATACTGTAGAGGCCAAGGCAGAGGGGCAGCCCTGGTGGCAGACGTGCCTTGGGAGCAGGAAGGCAGCTGATGGCACCGCCTGCTCCCCACAGCCTGCCTATCATTTGTATGGCCGTGTCGTGTAGCGGGGAATTCTCAGCGAGACTGGGAAGCCAGCCAGTGTTTTCCCTTGGAAACGCCTGCCTCCAATTATTCATAGAGGTAAAGAACTTAAACTGACTGAGCTGCTGATCCCAGCACCCAGCAGCCACCTCAGGCTGCTCTGCTCTCCCCTGAAATGATTGCATTCCCCCAGAAGCCCAGCTGGTGTCTGCCTGACCTGTTGATATGGGAATAGCTCAGTGCTGTCCACAGGGAAGACACCTGTGGCTGATTTTAACCTCCATAATAAAAGCCAAATGCATCCCTGGCTTTGCCTTGGTCATTTGTTTCTAAATGAAGCATCTCTCGCATAACTAATGGTCCCCACCTGCACCATATATCTTCCTGCTGCTTAAAGCAGACAGAGCTGGCAGCCTTTCCCCGTTCATAATGAGCACAGGGTGATGTTTGCCTGAAAGTAATTTCCCTGATACAGGTCAGGGTTGTAACCAAAATGAAGACTTCTCCCTGCAGAGAGTCTCACCACCAGAGCAGGGGCATTTCACATGCAGTAGCCTGCAGATGGATCTTGCACATTAGGGCTGAGGAAGGCAGAGGTTGCCCTTGGCAAACATAGAGGGTGAAATGTTTTGTGGAAGGAGCAGACCTGGAGGTCAGTGCTATCTGTGAGTGGGGGACCTTTGGGAGCAGTGTGTCATCACTAGGCACCGTCCCAAGCCCATGGGGCAGCAGAGCCCTTCTGGCAGCCCAGCACTGCAGGGAGCTGGGCACAGCACAGACTGCAGAGGGGGCAGGGCCCACATGCACTCTGCAGTCCCTTCCATGAGGATGTGGGGTATCACACCGCTTTGGTCTCTAAACTGCCTGAGCATCTTCTAACTGCCTTGGAACCTGTTCCATGCCAACCAACCACCAACAGCAGCAGTAGGCACAACCAGGGCATAGAATGCCCCAAGAAAATAGAAGCAGGAGGCTCTCAGGACTACAGCCCTTCCTGAGCATTTCTCCTCTGCACTGCTGAGCCGTGGGCTGGAAGGGCAGCTCCTAGGGTGACGGGGCAGCAGCTGCACCAGGAAGACCTGAACTCTCTGGGCCACGCAATGGCTGAAGCAACGGCCACTGTGGACAGTGAGGACCTCTCAGGCTATTTCAGCATGCAATACAGGCAGAATCTGCTGCTCTTGCTCAAGTAGGGAGCTCCTCCACTCCCTCCATCCGCTTGTTTCCTCCACCCCTGCAAGCTCCCATCCCTTATCTCCCCCACTCATCTCCTTACCTCCACCACTTCAGCCTCTCCTTGCACCTCCCTTCCTCAGCCCTGCAACCCCTCCTCACTGTCTCCATGGGATCCCCTCCGTAGAGCTTTCCACCCCGGTTCTGGGAGACTCGTGCTGTTGGACCAGCTCTGAGACAGGTCCTGGGTGGGGTGATGGGGCACAGCAAGCCAGCATCCTGCCAAGGTGCTGAGCCCAGCCAGTCACCACACTGAATGCTTCTGTGGCAGGAAACTCAAACTGACCGAGGAGGACTCTCTGTCTCCATTTATTCGCCTCCAGGAGAAGAAGAAAGAAGCCCAAGAGATGCAAAGGGTTCTGGAGGATAAGGAAGAGGTGAGAAAGGTGGAAGGGCTCTGGTCACGGCTGGGATGGCCCATGGCTTTTTGGAGGGTGGCAGTGAGCATGGACAGCCAAGCCTTGTCCCCTCTGTGCTTCCAGGCCTTCAGGGTGAGGATGGAGGACATCACCTGCAAGTGGAAGGAGCTCCGGGCCAAGGAGGCCGAGCTGAAGGCTCACATGAAGAAATCTGAGAGGACCCTAAAGGTACAGCTGCCCCTCTTCCGCCCATCCGACACAACGCTGAGATGCACGGCCAACTCCTCCCCTCCCCTGGGAAGAAGGACTGCAGAGGGAACTCCTCTCTGCATGGATCTCCCTTGAGCCCTGAGCTGCCTTCGCAGCTTTGTACCAGACTCAGAAGGCCCTGGGAGGGCCAGTGCAGCACCCAGCTCATCCTGCCCCACTGTGAACCCCAAGGGCTCCAGGCAACCCCCAGAAGGGCTCATACTGTCCCCACTGATTGAAAAGCAAAATGCCATCCTAGAGGCTTGTCTCCAACAGCAAAGTGCCGGTGCTAATGAGATGGCCTGATTAAGCAGAAAGGAAATGTGTTCCAGGGGAAAGACGACTTCTCACAGCACTTCTGCATGACACAGTTCCTTCTTCTCTTGCTTTCCTTTCCCTGTGTGCACATATATATGTGTGTGTCTTGATGGGGAAACACTGACAGGAAAATGATAAGATGCGAATCCAAGCTCTAAAGAAAGCTGGTAAAGAAAGGAAGATGAAGATGCAAAAGGAGAGTGAGCTCTTGAGAGCTAAGAAGGTACTGGAAGCCCTGAAAATTAAGCACCAGAAACTCAGTGTCAGAGTGCAGAACTACTCTATCTTTGAAACCTATCTGGAGGATGTGGTGAAGGTCTCACAGGTGAGTGTGGAAGGCAGCTCATGGCCTCAGGGAGGGCCTTACTTGGGCATTAAATCTAGAGAAGATAAGGTACATCCAGGAAAATCATAGCATTTGGTCAAGCCCAGAGGCCTCAGATGGGATGAGAAAAGGTTCCCTGTAACCAGGGTGAGCCAAGGGAATCAGAGTTAAAGGAAGAGAACCAGAAAAGGAGGGGAAGGCTTGGGAAAGCTAAAGGAAAACTATTAAAAAGGGAAAAGGCACAGGGATGAGTGGAATGGGGAACACTTTGAGTCACTGCTTCATATCACACTGATGGTGTGGGAGGAGTAAAATGCTGTCTGGAGATGGGAACCCAGGCTGTATCCTTTCAAGGAAGCCTGGGAATTATTCCATGCATCACTCCTCCTGGGATGCCAGTTGCCCCCTCCCAGGTCCAGGTAGATCAGCACAGGCAGTTGCATTTGTGCTTTTATTGGAGCGCTGCCCCCTTGGAGAAGAGGCGCAATGCCTCACCTTGCTTATGGCAGCTCTGGGAAGAGCACAACAAGAAGTTACCAGGGACGAGGCACTGCTCACAGCCCAACTTGGCTGGCAGTCCATTATAGAGGGAAGACATTCCAACTGGGGCAGGTGCTGCACCTCATGAACAGTGCAAGACTTACCATTATGATGGAGGGCTGGGATTACTAACCCCACTGTGCTGCAGTTTGAGGAGATCCAGGCAATCATTTGGCACTACAAGAGGTTAGTGAGGATGCGCAAGGCCCTGCTGCAAGCAGAACGTGGGCTTAAGGAAGCAAAGCAGAAAGCCAAGGAACTCAGCCAGCATGATGAAGATGAGAGCCTGCAGTACAACAGTGACCTGGATCAGCTTCAACTGCGTTCTCATCAGGCTCAAAGGGATGTTCTCACCAGGGTGAGGAAAGATGGGGCAGGCAGGGGAAGACCTCCCAGGCCTGGAATGAGTTGAGTCCCATCAGGCAGAACGGGAGAGTGGGAGGGTGGCAGCAGGATTCCCAGTTCCCAGAGGTCACAAATGGGGTGAAACCCACCAGAGCGAGGGCTGCAGGAGCCAGCGGAGAGATGAGAAACATGTGAAAACATGCCAAGCTGGACCACCTCCAGCAAGCACGTGATCTTCTCAGAAAACCAGTCAACTGTGGAAATTAATCTCCCCAAATCAGGGTCTCTAGTGCTAAGGCAGCATCTTTGCTGGGTCATGTCCACATGCTGCCTGTCTCCTCTCCTCTCAGCAGTGTCTCTGGGCTGACATGCAGAAAACAGCTGCCAAGAAAAGCCAGGAGCTGGGGACCATCAAGATGGCCATCCTTGGCCTCTTCCAGCATGTGAGCAAGCAGATGAAAAGAAGCCTGAATGTGCCAGTGGATGACAGCTACACACAGCTGAGCGTGGTAGGGCAAGCCAGACCACTTCTCCCTGCCCAGAAAGAGGAGCAGTAATGACCCTCAGCTGCCCAAAGGGAGGGGAGAGCCCAGGGAAACCAAGATGCCCAGCAGATACCAACGTTTTCACCTGAGTCCTCTCTTGGACAGAAGACATCAGGAAAACCTGGGTGTGGGTCCCTGCTGCAGGGTGACAAGGGGTGGGAGGCTGGCAGGTTGGGACAGGATGTGCGGGTCAGCCCATGGCCAAGGTCTGGATTCATTGACCCCTTGTCTTCCTAAAGGGCCAATAAGTTCTCCCCTGCCTCTTGCTCCCATCCCTACCGTGAGACACATTCCCCAGCACTCTGAGCTCTACCATCTCTCTTCCCTACCCTAGATTCAACAGTTTATCCAAGACCTCATGGACATCTTAATGGAAGTGAAAAGAAAGAGCATACAGATCCGTTAGCATGCAGTTATGCCTATGGGGCTGCGAGGAAGATGCCAAACTTGACCTGGTCTGCCAGCAAAGGCCCAGCAGCGTGGGAAGGGTGAGAAAAGGACAGAGAGCCCCACAGATGCTGTAGACTTTACTATAGGTTACGTCAGTGAAGTTTCATACCTTTCTTGCCCTTCTCTCCTGCACTGTCACTCGCACCTTCTCACACTATTAAAAACAATATGTTTTAAGATGGATCCGTTTCTTGGGGTGGTTGGCACCATTGGAACAGCTCCATCCCACAGCTTCATCCAAGCAGTGCCTTCTCTGGCAGATGGGATGCTGGTTGCAGAGTACAGCATCCCAGGATATAGGCTCAGATAGGGGTTCACGTCCACACCTGGACGTACCACTCAGTTTAAGCTGAGGTATTCAACAGGAACACCACAAAGGAGGGAGGACTGTCCTTCCAGAGAGCTTCAGAGATTTTCCTGCATCACCACACCCAGTGCCTATGGGAATGTGGATTTCCCTACGCAGCCACTCACTGTGTACCCAAACCCATCCCCCCTGCTGCTGTTAGAAGTGTTGACAGGTGAAGGATGAACCAGATGAATGAATCGCAGCAAGCATTTGCTTGTTCACTGTGAGTCCTAACATGATGAATACAGAAACAGAGGACTACTTTCACACTGGATTTCAGGTCTCAGCAGCAGAACATCACCCTGTGCAGCATCTCGGTGCGACGCAAACGCAGAAGGAAACACAACAGTGAAAAACTCAATTGCAGAGGCAAGGGCAGTAATTGCTCCTCAGCTACTGTGTGTGAAAAGAGAGCTCATTTCTTTCTGAAACCTTGACGTGTTAATGCTGTGTGGGCCAAGACAGGCCCTGTGTTCTTCTGAATAGATCACCAGAGCAGTGGGAGGTGAGTGGCATTCCGCATTCCAGCTGGCAAGGAAAAGATGTTGCAACTTTATGCAGCCACCGTGTGCCCACACTTTAATGATTTCATTATGTTCCTTCTGTAGAATGGGGATTGTGACTGTCAAGGAGGAGCAGGGGTGGGCTGCTCCTTGAGGTGGCTGCCCCATGGTATGCCACCAAGGAGAGGTTCATGGCTGAGGTTCATGAGTGATGGCCAGGCTATGTGCAGCTCCAAGATCAAGGTAGAAAGTCCAGCTGGCAGGTCAAGATGAGAATCAGTTATAAGGCCATGCACTGGCATTCCTGCAAGGCAAAGACCAAAACTCCCACGCTGAGTCTCATGCGTCTTTGCTGGAAACTCCTTGGGCAGCAGCTCTCCATGCCAGTGCAGGATCTGAGAGCCCTTCCCCCATTGCATCTTCCTATCTTGCACTGCCTTGCATCCTGGGCTCTGCTTTCCAGTGAGACCAAACAGCAGCAGCAGAAGGGAGAGAGAATTACAGGAGAGAGCACATCTTGGTGAGGTCCTCAAGGGTACCAGAGGTTGGTAAATGTCTTGTAGAGGCACTGGTGACGATAGAAAAAGCTGCTGAAAAAGTCATCTCATGACTCATCCCAGCAGAGATGAGGTTGTGTGTTTGTGTCCTTGCATCTCCTCTCTGCAGAGATGCATCCAAAAGGACCAGGAGCATTTATACCCACCCTGAGAGGTGACTCAGCTGTCCTCTCTTCTTCCACCCATGGCCACCCCCTCACCATCTCCAACATCAGTGGCAGCTGCTGGGGGCTGATGGGAACGGGGTGGTTGTGCCCAGGGAAATGGGGGCTGCAGCCCTGAGCCTGCATGGGGTAATTATGGAAAGACCTTGGAGAGTCTCAGGGTCAGGCTGTCCACTGCAAACAGGCTACTGGAGGGAGAAACCAGCAGCTGTGCATCTCCAGAAGGGAAAAGAGTTATTCCCAGAGCCCTGCCGGATGGCTTTGGCATGAGCAGGGTGGGGGGACGGAGCTGAGCCTAATGCCAACCAAATTGTAAGGACAGGGGGGTGACACAGGAGGCGTCCAGGTGGGAAAGTGTGAGAGCAAGGTGTTTCCCCGAGCATCACAATGACTGCAGTGCTGCCTACCGTCTACCCCGTCTGCCTTGTGGTGGTGGGTGAAGCAAAAGCAATGTGACTCACACTGCTGTGGGAAATGGAAGCAAAAACTAAAATTACCTGATCAGATGTCAGGGTTTAAGCTCAGTGATGCTGCATACAGCCAACTGTTTGTGTGTGTGTCTGTTAATAGCCTGTCTTTTCCTTGCAGAATTGCAGGGTTTTGGTTTGTTTGCATTGTGTTGCTTGATTTTGAGTGTCGGGGTGTTTGTTTTTTTGTTTTGTCTTGTGTTGTTTTTTTTGTTTTCTTTTTGTAAGATTTCTTTCTCTTGGCACAGAAATGACTTAAGCATTGACTAAATCCACAGACTGTTGACAGAAAATCCCCGTCACACTGAAATGTTGTCACTGGTTTAACCTGGACTCTGTTAACATTTCCTCTGTTCCATCAGTGTGGGAGGAGCTGGAAATGCAGGTCCCCCTGCTCTGACCCCACCAGTGATAGTGGCATTTCCACTGTCCAGAGAAGCCAGGTGTGCCTGGTGCCATTGCACACTCAAGTGATGGGACAGGCTCTGACACAGAGGGTCACCCCATGATGCTGTCACCTGGAGACATGCTTCTCCCATCTTAGGTGCTCTGTGAGGACCTAGGACAACCCATGCTAGCACCAACTGCTGTCCTCCATAGTGACTTCAGAAAACATTGCTGGCTTGTTAACCCCATAATTAGCACTTACCCAGGACTTGGCATGCCAAGCATCACCAGATGCCAGATGGCGGACATGAGAGTCATTAGACCCAAATTAGAGCATTGTTTCTGCATATGTAGTTTCTATTCAAGAGAGAATGTGGTTGCCAGAGCTGCCTGGTCCCCCCTCAGCAGTCACTGGAGTAAAAACACATCATGTCTGTGAGTGACTGTGAGCTCCTTGGTCCTACACATCTGCACAAAGCCTGTCCTGCTTCTCTGCCCCCAAACTGCCTCTCTCTCCTCCTCGTTATGGCCACCATGAGGTGTTTATGAACCAGAAAGGGAGTCTCCTGCCTTCCCAAAGATTTTTCAGCCTGATCCAGAAATGAAATGTTAGGTCACCAGCCAGAAAGAGAAGGGTCAGGCTTCTCAACCCTTTTGTTTCTACTCCTGCAACACTAGGGGATCCCAAAGGCAGCCTGGCTTTAGGGGACTTGGTTCACGTTCTGCTCCAACCACCCTGCTGTGACACCACCTGATACACCCCTGCAAAGGTTCCAAGCAGGAAAAGACATTTACAAATGAAGCTTCCAACAGACATTTATTAGTTTGGGTTGAAATCAATGCACATGAAGGAGTGTCGCTCCCGTGTGCTGCACACCTCTGCCGTCAGTTCAGTACAGGCCAACTGGGATCATACGGCCAGGACTGCAGCCTTTCTCCATGACCAGCCTTACAAACACAGCCATCAACAGAGCAAAGTGAGTCAGGATCCTTCCCACCTCCTTCCTGGCCATCCTCCCTGCCCTACCAGCACTGGGTCCTGGGGCCTCATAGGGTGGAAGCAGGGATTAATTTGGGGGTCAAACTGAATCAAGAGCTCTTCCTTGCCTTTGGCTCCCTGTCAGCCCAAGCCAGCAAAGTGGCTCTGCTATTCCCCCTTCCAAAGAAGGCCAGGGGAAGGCCAGCACAGGGAGGGCCTTTCTAGTTCTTCAGGTCTGTTGTCCACAGTCAATGCCCACATTGCACCATGTGTGTGGCTGCAGAGTGATGAAGCCAACCAACCACAGGGCGGGGAATGAAAGAGCAAGGAGTAAGAGAAGCCTCATCTGCCCCACCAGCTCCAGGCTGGATGCTATTGAAGATGGTCCGTCTTCTTGAGCAACAGGCACAGCACCTTATTGCAGTGTGGAGGCACCTCGTGCTGCTCCACAGGGCTGGCAGAGCAGAGGGAAGCACTCTGACCTGCAGTGCTTCCTCCAGGGTTCCACATCCCCAAAGCAAAGGGTACAGGGAACAGCAGGCAGGTACTGTGGGATGCAGGAGGTCACCAACAACAGCACAACACGTAAGGAGGCTTCACATTGAGACCTCAGAAGATACCAAAAGCAGGGTTCCACCTGCATTGAGTTTTATTGAGATGAATGTACCATTAGGTGCAAGGAAATGAGACTGATGGTTGTGATCTCACTGACCTGGGCATGCAGGACAGTGACCCAGGCAGGAACACCATCTCAGGACTGCAGCAAACAGCAGCAGCACTGAGCTGAAGGCCTCAGCAGCTTGGCTATGGGGCAACCAGAGCTCTTGGGCAGCCACCAAATGGCCCCCACATACCACCTAGTGGAGCCACCCATCCTACAGGGCAGGCAGGTTTTGGAGATGTGAGAGCTCTTCACATCCTATAAAGAAGAACCCTTGTGCTGTCATGATAGCCATTAGCAGCTCCAGTTGTGCCATGTAAACATGGATCAAAATGCTGACATGCTCAGAGGGGACACCAGCATCTGAGGCACTGGGAGACCTCGTGGTGCTGTGATCTTTCACACAGGGATTACGTGCTGGTCATGGTGCCAGGCCTGGAGGCACTGGTGGGCACTGGTGGTCAGGGCTGAATGCCCTCCTGGCAGTGCAGGTGTCCCTCACCTGCTCTCTCCAACCATCCCTGCCATGTTTCTCATCTCCTGTTTGGTTTCCATTTCCCATTGCATTTTCCCCTGATCTTCTGATTTTTTTCTCCTTTCCTGCTTTGCTCTGGTTTCCTTTTCCTTTGGAGCTGAAACTGAACCCAGTAACAGTGAGCTGGGGAGGGCAGCTCATCTGCCTGTAATTCAACACACCACGTCTGTGCTCAGGTGACAACTTCACAAAAATCAGCCCTTCGTTCAGTTGCCTTTAGGGATGGCCCTTCCCTCCCACAGCCCTACCCAGAGCCATAAAACCAATGCAAGCACAACAAAACCCTGACCAGAGACATTCCCCACGAAGAATCCTTTGGAATCAGCCCACAGAGACTCACAAGGTGGTACAAGGCCAAGGATGAGATCTGCAACAACAACATGTCCAGGGATGGTGGATGCTCCCCACATATCAGCTCCAATGCTTGTTTAGTTGCCCTGTCCAGGTGAAGAATATCACTGGATATTCTTGTTTGCTGCACACATCTCTTCCAAGCTGAGCTAAGGTGGAATTCAGTGTTTGTTGATGTCATGGAGGTTTGGCCATTGATGTGGCACCAAGGAAACATGCCATCATTCAAGCTTGCACCAGCCTGCATGGAAAGTCTCGTCGGTAGCAGTGCTGCAGTGGGAAGCGTGAATAATGACGGGAGGTTGGAACTCTCAGAGGAGAGCAGGTTGTGGACTCTGGCTGGAGACCTGGGCAGGAAAGGAAAGAAACAGGAGACCATGGGTCGCAAGTGTGTGATCCCCTTGGTGCTTCCTTCCGTGTCCTCAGCATCCTCCCAGCAATGACCACTGCTCCTCTTCCAAACCCTCTCTCAGGACTCAGTGGGGCTCTGACACTTTTCTGCAGTGACCAACCCACAGAGCAGGGCTGCAGCCAGGTGGTCCCTCACACCCTGCTTCTTTTGTGTGTCCCACATACCAGTGCCAACCAACCCTCCCCGCACTTGGCAGCTTCAGCACCCCCAGAAGTCCTTGTCACAAAGCCCAGCACACTACCGTGGTCACGTCCCATGCAGAGGAGCTGGGAGCTACATGATGGAGCAGGTGAAGCCACAGCACTCCTTGAGCAGGGTGAGGCCCGTTTTGGTCATGTACGGTGCGGAGGTTTGCTGCCCCCTGGAAGTCATTTTCTTCTCTCTGACAGGAGCTACAGAAAGAGGCACTGTAAGCTTCAGGTGTGTTCTTGGAGACAAGGACATAAGCCCACTGCTTATTCTGAAAGGTCCTCTCAGCACAGCACTGCTGCCCCAGAGGAAGGCTGAATGGATGGCACGACTTGTTGCTTTAGTCAGTGCATGACGAAATGGAAGGAGCTGATTAGAAAGGGCCTGATGAAGTACACGAACCACAAAGTGACACCTGCTCATCCCAGATCTCCTAGGACATGCTGGCTGAGAAACGTATGGAAGCATTGCATCTCTACTGACTGGTGATGTTTCCAGCACCAGCACCTCCCCACACTGAGCTAGTTCTACACAGAGGGATGAAATCTTGGCACCAGACTGCTTAGGGAAGGGAAGAAACTGCCAGGGAGGTTCAGTGCAAGGAATATAACTCATTGACCACCTACTTGCTTTCTGGAGGTAGCTTTTGGAGAGCTTACTTTGCAGGAATTCTGCCATTTCTTTGTCTTCTTCTCTCTCCCTGCAACAAAGAGATTGTTTAGCACATGGAAAAGGAGCAACGAGGCATCCAGAAACATCTGTCAAAGCGTAATACAGATCTGAGGAAAGCTTGCACTGTCCTCACTGCAAGGAATAACTTGTTCCCAGCTACCTGAGCCTCTCAAACTCCACATCGTCCACCAGGAAATCCCGTGTTTCCACCAGCTTGTGGATCTGCTGCACCAGTTCCTCCTCCTTCTGCTTCTCCTCATTGGACTTCTCAGTCTCTGCAGCACAAGAAGTGTATTTAGCTCCTCTGCAACCCTCCCATGCAAAGTTGAGCCAAGCCAAGCTTGCTGTGCTCTGCTCCACCTGGGAGTGCCTATGAGAGTGGGGGTAAAAGCCAACCCAAAGTAGGCTCCAGGATCCAGATACAGGCTGCTAAATAAGCAAAAATCTCACCTCAACCCACCCAGGTCTGGTGTCATCAAACTCAGATTTTTGAGTTTTGCCCCTGAAATTTCCATGGGGATGAGCACTATGAGATGTAACTGTGAGCTTCACAAGGCAGAGGGTCACAAAGTCAGATTCAGGTGTCATCCTCCTGCCAAGATGTGCTGAACCCACATTTCCCACACCAGCATACCCAGCTGCAGTGCCAGCATGGTGCTGACCCATGGAGAGCCCCAAAAACCCCACCTGGCTGCCTCTGAGCACCATGACCCATTTGTGTCACACATATAGGAACCTTCAAAGCCCATCTGGTCCTACTCCCCTGCACTGAACAGGGACACCCACAGCTCCATCAGTGCTCAGAGCCCCGTCCCCTGACCCTGGGTGTCTGCAGGGATGGGGCACCACCACCTCCTTGTGCAGAGAGTTAGTGAAGCCCTGGGAAACTCTCACATCATGCAAACTCATGTTCTATACAAACTAGTATATAGCAGCAAGCAGAATGCACAAAAATCCTTGGGGATTGGACTAGAGGATCTTCACAGGTTCTCTCTTGCTCAAAGCACTCTGTGATTCTATAAGATGACAGAGCTAGCGCTGGGGAGTGTTAAATATGGACAGCTAGCTTGGGTGGAAATGGTAAATGCCTGTGTAGCACTATTTAATAACAATTTCTGAATTCAGCAGCCAGCTCCAAAATCAATCCAGCTCAGGATGGATCAATCTCCTGTCTTCCTTCAGCTAAATAAAAATGCAGCAGAATTCACAGCATGGAGCCAGCCTGCAGGCAGGGTCTCAGCAGCTCCCTAAGCTGTGTATTGATCTGCAGCTTCAAGTCTGCTTTGTATTGATGGGAGGTGCTGCTGCAGGGGTCTGGGTAGAAGGAACTTCTTATAACCTTTGTGTTGTCAGAAAGATCCCCAGAAAATAATTTGCTGTGATATTTTGGTGCAAATAAGGCACTTCACTCTGATGCCACCAGAAACATCAGGTTGGGCACAAACATACCAGCTACATGGGGATAGTTAATGGTCTGCACTCCTGGGTTAGAGCACATCAGAGTTAACATACCCTCCATACAAACACTGCTTTTTTCCAAATTGCTGATGTCACAGTCCATCAGGACCACCCCTTTGAACTACTAAGGGCACTTTAAGCTCAAGCTTCTCACTGCTGCCTTCAGCAGCAGCATCTCCGGGAGCATCCCAGTGTGGGAGCTGGCCAAGAGCTTCCTGGGCTTCATGGAGATCTTTCTGCTGAGCGCATGGCAGGGTGCAGCTCTACAGAGCCTTACCAGGAAGGGCAAGGAGCTTTTGAAGCTCCTTTTTCAGCCGGCTGATTTCTTTGCAGAGCTGAATGTCATCCATCCTGCAGAGACACAAATGGAATCAGGGCGGTTAGCGAAGCAGAAATCTCATCAATGACAACAACACCTCAGTAAAACCTGGCATGTGCGCCAGGCGATAGCATGGATAGCATGGAAATGGGGTGTGGGCTGTTGGCTCATTGAAATCAAGGAACTGTGATCTGTTCTTCATCCCGACAGACTTCATTAGTCCTCCCAAGCTCTACCAAGAAGCCAACATGAAGCATGACCTTCCCAAGGCCATCCAAGCCTCCAGTGCTGCAATGCACCGACACTGCAGGCACATGGCAGAGCAGCCAACCTGGCACCACACAGTTGAGATTTCTCACAAGCTCCACGTCTGTGAGCAGTGCAAAAGCCCTAATTCACGCTCCGTGTCTGCAGATAACACACGATTGGATCCACGAGCTGCTGCCACAGATGTGCCCCTGGCTCCCTGTGCGGTGTGCATTGCTAAGAGCCCTGTCTGCTTCTCCAGTAATCCCGCAGCCCTTCGCTGAGTCACCCCGTCAGGATGAGTCACACTGGAGCTGGGGGCACCAGAAATATTAATTAGAGAGAGGGAAACCAACAGAGCGACAAAGAGGAACCCTGTGTGATACTGCTGTAGGAGGAGAACATCCCAAGTGGAGGAAGCCTTTCCTCTTGGCAGAAGTAATGAATTGGCAATAATAAAAGTTGTCATTTCAGTACAATCTGGGAGATAGCAAAGGCAAGCAGCCGGGTCGTTGCTGCTGGAGCTGGGGTTGTCTCTGCCACCTGAGACATCTCGTTGCAGCAGGTTTCATTATCTTCCAAGCATGGACATCTCAGCAACGTTGGAATGTACTGGTTTGACATTTTCAACAAGAAAACACTGATTGCTATCTACTGACAAGGCGACTCACATCCCTGTATGGTGGCACACAACAGAGGTGTACGTCTCCCTGAGTCCTACAGTCCACCTGACCTTAAATATGACTTTTATTTCCCCCACTGTGTCAAACGCCCCACTCCAACCCCCAAGCCCTATCCGTTGTAGCCCTGGTGTGCGGAAGGTTCCTGTGCCCCCAGCAGGGCAGCCCCAGCTCCTCCTGCCCAGCAAAGCTGATGCTCCCATAGTTTCACACCACAGGTCTGATGCTCAAGCTCTGATGTGCAGCCCTGCTGTTCCCCAAAACACCCAAGCAATGAATGCTGCAGCTGTATCCACCCCAGGATGTGTTTTCTGTAGGTGATTCCCAAGTGCAAGCCAAGGAAGAAAACAAACAATGAGGTAAGAAGAACCACGAGCTGTGAGTTTTGACAGCACCTGTGAGATTTAGGTGCCAGTTGCCATGGAAAACATTCAAGCAATTCAGCTTTTGTGACTCCCAGAAATCCCCTGCAATCCCAACAACAACACCTCAGCTCCAGGTGTGTGGTGTGCGCTCCCTGTGCCAGCCCAGCACTTCTGGGGTCAGCCCAGGGCAGTGCTGGCAGCCCTGTCTCCATGGCTCTGGCTCAGAACCCAGTGCTGAGAGTATTGTTTATTCCATGCTGCAAATGAGCCTTGCTTTTTCCTTTGCTTTTTCTCAGCTCCCTCCCTGTCTGCTAAGCCAGTGTTAGGACTGTGTGCACCAATTGGCTCCAAAGGAGCCGTGCAGCTCTGTCACATTGGCTTTTCTCTTGTCACCATCCCTCTGTGTTACAGTGGCTTTATTTCTGCCTCTTTGGCAGGGCCACATTGATTCTGGCACTCTGTGGACACAGATCCTCTATGCTGATGCTCCAAAAGGGGAGGAAGGGCTGGGAGACCATAAGGTCTCCTCCAACCCACCCATGATGTGATACGATTCGACGATAAACTCAGGTTCTGTGGCTGCCCATGTCAGGGAGCAGCAGTGAGCCCCAAACCTCGAGTACCTTCCCATGCCCAGCCCAAGAGCATCAATCTGCAGAGAAGACATAGTGCTCAGAGAGGACCATGGGCACGTTTTAGCTCGGTCAAACTCATGCCCCCAATCCGCACAGGTTGGCTCCCAGCACTCACATGTATCGCAGCTCTGACTCCCTCCTCACCAGGATCTCCCTGATCCTCTCGATTTTGAAGAGCTCCCCTTCGATGTCATCAATAGTGGTGGAGGAGTCAGCCATGGAAATGATCTCATCCTCTGCAAAGGAAGCAGGAGCCCCGTCAGCCAGCAGCAGATGTTAACCAGGTGCTGAGGACAACAGGGCTGTACAGCAGACACTACGCAGCATCACCAGGCTACACATGCAGCTTCAATTTCTTTTCCAGGCTACCCACCAGGAGCTGCAAGAGGAGACAGCCCGACATGGAAAGTCACCACCAGATACAGGGGCACTGAGCTACTGGCAGATGTGTTTTGCCTTTATTTGTGCTCCACACAAAGCTGAGCACCAGAGCAGCTCTGCTCACTGCTGCAGCTGCATCAGACCCCTTGGCTGAGCAACCTCAGAGACACAAGCCTGTGTCTGCCTCCTCCTCCAGGACATGCCAGGGCCCATATAACACAAAACCAACAAGAAGTCATAGAGGTGAAGGTCCCACTGCAGCTCCCATTCCATTGCAGGGTGGGTGAACCCCTCCAAAGTACCTGGCAGGGCAGTTCAGCTTCCTTATCTCCTGAAGTGCTGAGCATCATCTCTGCAACCCACCTGGGGAAACTGAGTCAGGAAAAAGGGATGCCATTTGCTCCAGACCAGAGGCAAAACCATCCCAGCAACCACAGGAAAAAGAGGCTGTTGTTTTTTAGTGGCAAGTTCAGGGATAGGCAGGATGAGAGCCCAGAAGCAGAGCTCTGCTCTCACCACCAGCTTTGTCTCTGCCAAAGTCTGATGTCCCACAGCTCCCAGCCTGCTCTATGGGATGACAGCTGAGGTTCTGCTCCCAGGCCAGCTGCCACCTTCCTGCCAGCCCAGCTCCCAGCATCACATCACCCAGCTTGTTATCACTGATGTGCAGCAGTGCATTCATCACACAGTGGCTAATCCAGCTCTCCTGTGATGTACAGGCAGCACAGGGTGGGGGGTGGGGGGCTCAGCAGCTACAGCAAAGCCAGGCTATGAGAAACATTAACAATCACATATATCAGGGGAAAACTGAGCTTCCTTTGGATCCCCACAAGGCACATCTCTGCTCGGAGAGTTTCTGCAGCCCTGTAGAGCAGGGAGAGGTTGCTGTGAAGGCACAAGGCAGAACACTCCACACAGTGGTTCTCTACCCATCGCATAGAACTGCTGGAGAAATTGTCCCCAGCGAGGCATGTTTCTGAAGCTGCTGGTGGAGAAAGTTGAATAGCAGAAATATATGTAGTTTAGGTTGGTGTGACTGGTTTGGGGAATAGCTTTCCACTCTTTCTGGCTTAGAAACTCATGAGGATTAATTGTAGCACATCTCCCTCTCTTCCAGCCATGCAGGTACTTTCTACCAACACCTTTACATGGAATCCTTAAACATTCCCCACCCTAAGCTGTTGGGATGCTCTCAGGAGCCCCACCCTGATGGACCACTGGATATGTGAGCTGAGCACAGAGTGGGGTGGGATGGGCTGCCTTCTGGCAGCTCTTGTCCCTGCTGCAAACGGGTGCTGGAAACCCTACCCTTAGCCTGCTTTCTACTGGCCTGAATGGGTTGCTAGGGGACTGGACTGTGGTTGCTATGGGACCAAGGATGCAGTTTCTGCAGGACCGGACTGCTGTTGCTAAGGGACCGGACAATGGTTGCTAGGGGAGAGGGATGCTGAGCTCCCTTGTCCCAAGCATCCACCTGCTCAGCCACCCCAGGATGCCCGTGGCCCAGGGGATTTCGTGCACCTGAAGACAGGCAGGTGGCCCTGGTCACATCTCCCTGCAGCTGACGGGGACAAGCAGGTAACAACGCACGCGAGGTTGCAGATGGAACAGCCACCGTGTGCCTGTAGGCTCCCTGGGGCTCGGCTGTAGTTCAGTGTGGCTGTAGATCTGTCAGAAAAAGCTGCATTGCTCAGCGTCACTTCTGCAACCAGGCTGAAATGACAAGGCTGATTATTTTATACGTTCTCCAGTAAACAAAGAAACGAGCTCACTGCAGCTCTCATTAGCCAGGAACAAATCTTGGAGCACAGGGGTGGGTCTGGGGGAGGGAGGCTGTCACTGCTGGTCTGGGTGGGTGAGGGAATAGCCCAGAACATCTTTGATCATCGGTGGCAGAAGTACTTGGCTCAGGTCATCAGCCAGCTGCTTCCCAGTGGGTGAGCACAATGGCTTGGAACAGGTGTCAGCATCACTCCTTCTCCCTTTTCATCCCAGAACCTCATTAGCAGCAGCCAGCCCGTCTGGAAGAGGCAAATCCTCACCTGTGTACCAAAGGGAGGAGGAGGCTGGATGATTTCTGCCCACGGTCACTTCCAGCAGCAGAGGCTGAAGGTTAGGAGTGTACTGTGAACCAAGGGCAGGTGGGCATCACACAGCACAGCCATGGCTGCAGGAGCTGAGCTGGAGGCTCCCATTGGTGATGGGGTGGCACTCTGTGTCCCAAAGGTGAGACTTATCCTCAGACACACCAGGGAAGGTGTCAACAGAGCTCTAATCAAAGAGCTGCTTAAAACAGGAGAAGGGGCAGCTCCAAGTGAGAGCTCCTGCAAAAGGAAGCCTGTGGACCTCTGGGGGAGTGCACTCTCCCCACTGATTCCTTAAAATCTGCCCCAAGCACCTTCTCACCTTCTAAATTCAATGAGGAATGGGAAAAATCCTCGGGATCATAAATGCCAAGCTGCTGCTGTGCTTTTGGGTAAGGGTGAGGCCAGCATCAGCCAATCCTTCATGCTGCATTTGACACCAAGATTGCCCAAGGGCTCTGGAAGTGGGGCCAGAGACACCAGAGGCTGTGTGAACACCCAGGGAAAGGGACAAACTGCTACACTTCTGCATGAAACCCATCCACCAAACCTCATGAGAAACCAGTGAATCTGTGCAAGAGACCAAAAGGCAGGAACCCTTCCGGAAACTGGAACGGCTACCAGAGAAGTCCAGGAATCTGCATCGTTGGTCCAAGACACCTTCTGGACAAGGCTGTGAGCAACTCCATTTACCTGCTAAGCCTGCTTTCAGCAGGGAGTTGGACTCGAAATCTGCAGAGCTCCCTCCTGATCCAAGTTAATCTGCAAAGACCAACTGAGTTTTGCTTGGCTCTTCCCTACTAGACCAGGAGATGCCTCCTCCAGACAGATGTGGGGTGATATCAAGTTCCTGAAGCCCCAGCTACACACATGGGCTAAAGCACAGCTTCCCTTTGCAGCCTGGGGTCCCCAGGGCTCCATGCATCCACTGCAGGTGTGGGAAGTGGGAACACTCAGAGCTCAGGAGGGACTAAACCTGGGCACATGGTACAGCAGGCAGCTGGGCAAAGACTTCCCTGGAGGTGGTTTTACTGAACGGGTCTGTAACACCCAACTCTCAGTGCCTCCTTACATCTGGGCCCATGCTTGTGGTGCTGAGCATCCGTTCAGGGATGCAGGATGACCCACGTGTGTGCAGTTCCCACAGATGCACACGCCAATGGAACCAGGCACAGGCATCAGCCCCACACTGCCCACAGAGCTCTCCAACAGCCACTGCTTCAACCTGGCAAACTGAAGAACAGGAGAAGGCTTTGATTTCAACTTGGGACTGTTCTGATCGTCACACACAGCCCAGGGGAAGAGAGTATCGTTAATGAGGAGTATAATAGCTGGAGACTCTCACTCCATATGGCTTTGATGCAAACATTTAGACAGCCAGCAACAAGCCCAGGATGAGTCACAGCAGCAGCCAGTGCAGGGTTGAGTTGCAAGTGATTTCTTTCATGATTAAAGATGGGCAATAGATTGGCAGTGCTCTGGGGAGGGAGGGCAGAGGTCTTCACCTGGGCTCCGTCCCAAGAGTCTTTTAATTCAGCTGCGGGTTTTCTCTGCCAGGAAAAGCAGTGTGAGCAGGGGGCATCCAGCTCATCAAAACCAACCCTTGTTGATTAGTGCATATGTGATAATGAGAGCAATCGCAGTTCTCTGCCCAGCTCTGGGCAGTGTTTGCAGAGGTGATATGGTGCTCACACCCCTGGTGCCTGCAGCATCTTCAGCACACACAGGCACTCCAGACCTGGAGGACAAGGTCAGATCCCTGCAGGTCCCCCACCCAGATACCTGCCATGCAGGGGCAGGATGGAGGGATAAGTGCTGCTGTGCTGGAAGATACAGAGGAAGATAAAAACTTCAGGATGCTCCCCATGGAGCTGAGCAGCACCCGCACACTCGCATCCAGCTGGATGCTGAAGTTTGCTCTGTGCCTCCCCTTTTTGCCTTTCTGGCTGCTTGCCGCTGTCCTGCTGCACGCAGAGGTCTGGTGGGGAGCAGAACGAGATGGGAGCAGAAGGGGACGGGGGAGATGTCGGAGTGCGATGCTGCCTCCCAGCCCTGGGGCTCGACTGCGGGTGACACCCGGCTCAGATCCCGTTTCCTACAGGAGGAACTGCTCAGAGTGGGGAAAGGCAGCAAAGGGCCGTGCGGGCACCCCAGGCTGCCCATCACAGCCATGCCCACAGCACGGTGCCTCCACATCTCTCCGGGCTGCACCAGCCGTGCGGAGGGCTCCATCCCCCCTCCACCACTTCATTTCCCCCAGCCATCCCTCCATCCGCTTCTTTCCGTCTTTTCTCTCCCCCCATGCAGCCCTCCCACCCAGCGGGGGGCTCAGCGGCTCCCCCATCCTCTCTCCCCTCGCTTCCGAGACGCACCGCGAGGCTCCGCGACCCGACGTAGGTTGGGGGGTTTGGGAAGGGGGCAACAGCGGAGCCACCCGGGGGAAAGTTTGGAGCTCACCTGGCGCCGTGCTGGCGGGCGGCCACCGGGTGGATTCCAGCGAGCCGTACCGGGGGGGGGTCCGCTTCCCCTCCATCCTGCAGAGCGCTGCGGCCGCCTCGATTCTCCCCCGTCCGCACCGCTCGGAGCGGAGCGGCTCGGGGCTCCCGAGGCTCCCCGCCCCTCCGCCCGGCTCCCCCCGCTCCGCTCCCGCCGCGCCCTCTGCCGTTCTCCGCCGCCCCGCTCCGCTCCCCGCCCTTCGCCCGCACCGCGGCCGCTTTCTCTCTTTCTCTCTCGGGGCGGTTCGGAGCTCGGCTGGGTGTCCTCTGCCGCCGCGCACCCCCAGCCCAGCCACAGCCCCTGCCTCTCCAGTTCCGTGCCACAGACTTGAGCAGCTTCAGCACGAACACGGTCCCGTTCAGCCCAATGCATCCTTTGTGTCTCTCAGCGGGGCACGGCTCGCTGCAGATAAATAAACCGTGCGACAAAAGCGGGACAAAGAAAAGATGGTTGGCAGCACTTTGGGAGCACAGGGGCTGGGCATGGGTCTAAAACCTTGCAGGGATCTTAGTGATCATAGAATCACAGCATCACCTCATTTGGAAAAAATCATCGAGTCCAACCATCAGCCTGATCTGCCATGTCCCACCCAAGGCCACATCCATCATTGCCACCTCTGGAACACCTCCAGGGATGGGGACTCTGCTGTAGCCCGGGGCAGCCCTGGAGGTGTTCAAGGCCAGGCTGGATGGGGCCCTGGGCAGCCTGGTCTGGTATCAAATGTGGAGGTTGGTGGCCCTGCGTGTGGCAGGGGTTGGAGATTCATGGTCCTTGAGGTCCCTTCCAACCCTGGCCATTCTGTGATTCTGTGAATCATTAAGATTGGAAAAGACCACTAAGATCATCTATTCCACCCACCAAGACACAACCACCATGCTCACTAAGCCATACCCCTACGTGCCACATCTGCCTTTTCCCTGAAAACCTCCAGGGATGGTGATTCCACCACCCCAATGCTTGTTCACCGTGGCCACAAGGAATGAGTGCCTGGATCAGCTGTGCTCTGCATTTAAAGCACTCCAGAAGTTTGCTTTGCTCTCCCCAAAAACACAGGATCACCTTTAGCAGCGCAGTCGCACTCAGAACTGTTTGCACACCCATTGCACACACTGCTTGCTCTGCTCTGCCCAATGCTATCGTTGTGTACAAACCTCTCTTGCAGAAGATGCTCTACGTCCTCGAATCCACTGTAAAGAAGTTTTAATGGATCCACTCAGACACTGGAAAGGTACTGGGAAGCACAAAGAGCACTGAACTGCCTATTCCTGCAGAAGGGCATGTATGTCTGGCCAGAATAACAAGATGGGAGTTATTAAATAATTCCATGAGCTTCTTTTCCTTGGGATTTGTCAAAAATTCAAGCTCACATCTCTCAATCCACTATTAACACGACTCCAGCGTGTGATTGTGTTTCCTGGCTCAGAATTCCTTTTCCCATCAGCACAGGCCTGCTGTTCTCACTGCTATCATCCCCTCTGCAGTCCCAACCTGATTACAGCTGGAAATGCTTTCAAAGGTCCAAAACCACAGCCCTACTGCCAACAACGTCCTTCTCTGCTCTGATAAGGTTGGCATGAGATCACTTCTTCTGTTGCTCGATTTCTCCAGGCAGGGTTTCTTAATACGAAAGGTGAAACAGAGCTTAATTTTACAGTTAGCTCCTACTCAGCTCTGTGTCTGTGTGCGCAGTGTTATGGTGTCAACACATCTGATTTCAAGGGAAAAAAAATTGCCTTTGGCCAAAAAAGTAATTCCTATCACAGCAAAAGCAGTGGAGAAGTGATGCACAAAGAAATGTATCTGTGCCCAGAGAAATGTACAACTGAAGTCAGCAGATAGAAGAGGAAGAAGGGAAGGGAAGGGAAGGGAAGGGAAGGGAAGGGAAGGGAAGGGA